ACCGTGGGATATCTCGTCCATGCCGTCTCGTCTCTCCGTTGTGTTCTCAGCCATCACCATCGTCGGAGTCTCCCTCAGATTCTACAAGGAGAAAGCATCGTTCTCTCCAATGGTGGATTTTTGAGTAATTGCAAGACAATTTACTTTTGTAGCCCCAAACTTTGGAAATTGCATACACAACCTCTAAACTTCCAAATGTGCACTTTAAACCCTGTTATATGAAATTATGCAATGCAAATGTAATGTATGCACCTAATTTGCAGTCTAAATGATCAAAATGAATCAAAACAAGACTTTAAAACTCATAAAAATCATGTTATATCATCATTGCCGGGGACTCTTTCTTATTACCATTAGATTTTCTTCAGAATTTAGTTTAGACTTTGTCACTAAAAGTTTCTGAGTTTTCTCTCTTTCCCTGCTTACACAGGTACTAAAAGAATGGAGAAAATAGATTTCGGACGAGCATCGTTCGACGAGGAAATCCGTGAATCGAGCGAAACACCTTTGCAAATGTCGATCGACACTTATGTTCCACCATTGATCGACGCCAACCCGCCAGAAGCAGGTAAGTCTTTACTTACCACATTTCATTAGGAAGTAGTCCAAGCTGAACCAATAGGTTAATTAGGCAATGAAATTAGCCAAACCCAAATTAAACAAGAGACTGAAATCCTTGTGAAATTAAATTCCACCTTACATAAAGGTGTGGAAATAAAGTTGCCCTTGCAAGACTACCAAAATCTTGGTAGGACCTATTTCAATAGGTCCGATATTAAGATACCAGAAGACGATACCAAAGAATCTGAGTTTAACTCTGATTACTACATTATGGTATGTAGAAACCCTTTCTGTGGATTCACCTCAGAGCATCCGCAAGACCACATAGAGAATCTAGAAGAGTTATTGATAGGCGAGCACAATCGATGTAATCTATTTTCCTTCTCTCTAAAAGGGGAAGCTAAGAAATGGCTCGATCGATTGCCAGCAGGATCTCTTACATGTTGGAGCGAAATTAGAGCTGCCTTTCTTAAGCATTTCTTTGAAGTTACGCGCTACTGGGCTGTAAGAATGAAAATATCCACTTTTCGACAAGATCCACGTGAATCATTCAAAAACGCATGGGGAAGATTCAAGAGATACCAACTTGAATGCCCCCATCATAGTTATCCAGAACCACAGTTCCTCAACATATTTTATGGAGGTGTTACTTTAGATTATCAGATCACTCTTGACACAGCGAGCAAAGGAAGTTTCATCACTCGAAGTCCCGAAAAGCGAGACGTGTTATTGAAAACATAGCAACAAAGAAATTCTTTAGATTCCCTCTGCTCCTTCCTAAGAAAGCAAAGCCAATCTGAAACATTTCGGATTGATGATGATGTAAGTTGAAGAAATTACCTTAGATCAAGCCTACACAAGTAATTGGAGATTACTAGCTGAATTCAATAACAAGATGAAACTCGTCTATGATAGAGTAATAGAGAAAGCTAAAGTCCTGCGTGATCGTATCTGGAAGTTGGAAAGTAAAGTAGTTGAAAACGCTATTGCTATGAAGAGAGAAACAAGATGTCTTTCCGGCAGTACTGACTCAAACCCGAGACGCTAAGTCAGTGCCATTATGCTGCGAAGTGGAAAACAACTTACCACAAACACTCAAAGCACTAGTGCTAAATAGATTGGTAAGGACATTTCCTCACCCATTTCTCTCGATGACCCTGACCTGATTCTGGCATCTTCACCTAGAAAGGAAAAATCTACCAATGATAAGGAGAACACAATTGCTCCAGATGAGGAGAAGGACTATTCGGACGAAGAGGTAGGAATCGATCGACATTTTTAACACAGTGTCGATCAGATAAACCCTGAAATCGATCAACATGAAGATGTTGTAATCGATCATTCCAAAGAACATAAGATCGATCGACACAGTAGCTAGTGATCATGTCGATCGACGTCCAACTCCTAGCAAACCTATGATAGAACAGATCTATAGTGCATTACCCTATTTCCCTCCTATTAAGTCATAGACTAAGAAGGAGCTAGAAAAATCTATGTAAGAAAGCCTTCGACAAGGTGAAAATAGAACTGGCGATGAGCGATGCCATGAATGTAGCACCTCCCATTAAGAAGTACGTAAAAGATATGTTATCTAAAAACTATCAAACTACGGAGCATAATGTGATTAAAGTTTCAGAGGAAGTAAGCGCTATAATTCATGGAGGAACTCCGTCATATCCTGATCTTGCTAACGTAGCATAATCTATCATACATCAGCACATCAAATTCAATTTGCATTCTAACCCAAGTAAAAAAAAAAACTCCATCATATCCTGATCTTGCTAACGTAGCATAATCTATCATACATCAGCACATCAAGTTCAAATACAAACATTACCCTAATCTATCATAAAAAAATAATATAATGTAGCCTATTTATCACCCATCATAAGCACCCAAGTTCTCATCATTATCCTGGTTTTCTTTCTCATGCTGGCCAGGAAGCTCTTTAGATATATCCACCGCCATCCTATCCCTCATAGCCTTTCTGTTGGCGTTAGCAAAGTCTTTTTGATTAAATGGCATACCGAGAGCATGACATTCAATGTACCTTAAAGCGTACACGCCACAATCACCAGATCGGGCCTGAGGTATATTGGTAGGATGGGCATATGTGAATGAATCCAGGGTGTATTGGGCATGTTTTTCATTAGAGGAAGTGCACTCAATAAGCAGATAAAGGGACCATGTAGAGAAAATGCTCCATTATCACAGCAAGTTCTTCTTCGGAGATAGACGAATAAATGCTGTCCCAGACGACTATGTGTCTCTTAGGGATCGATATCCACATAGCAATTCAATGACAGTCGTTGTAGTTCACTGGCGCCTAGATATCATCAATATCCACCCCCCCCCCCCAAAGCTTGTTCGATCAGCAAAATGATGGTATAGCGCCTGAATAATAATTCATCGCTCCACCAGGGAGTCTTCTTCCTAAACCGTTGTGATCAGGCACTGAGTCCTTAAAATCCTTGTAGTTGAATCTCCATTGATGAGAAAAGAGATGAGCAAGGAAGCACATCATCTCGCTCCTGAAATGTTGTATCTTAGCACCGTACCTCTTCCTCTTCACATTAATCCAAGCATCAATATGCTGCATTTAAAAAAATACAAAAGATATCCTCTCCGGGATACGACCGAGACCATAATGACTACCTTTCTTTACAAGAACATGCTACAAAATAAGAACACCAAAATTTAGTAAGAACCATTAATTACTTGTTAACAAAATAAACAAGAAATACCTCAAGAACCTGGGAAAAAAAAAAGAAAATATTAGCACATAGAAGCTTTCAACTTCATAACAACTTAATCTACAAGCATGAAAACATTTCAAAAGAAAAAAAGATTCACAGTTTTCCAATAAAAAAATTAAAATTTTGTTTTTCAAACAACCAAAATAATCAAAATCGTTGATTGAAACTACATAAAAATCAAAATCTATGCTCTTTTACAGATATCATTACCAAAAATAATCAAAATCTTAATGCATCTAACAAAATCATTCTCCAGAAGAAAATAAATTCTTACACGCGAGGGTTAAAGATATCGGAAACTAGATCCGAAACTAAATCGCTCACGAAACCTTGCTACACTAAACAAATAAGAAGCATAAAACTTACATGTTTTCGGCTAAGATTTTCGAGAGAGATAGAGAGACTGAGAGAGACACAGACCGGAGGAAAGATCGATGCATACCGGCGGGTGAGATCAAAGAACGACGGCGTGAAGAAGAAGAAATAGAAGATTAGGTTGATTCAGCGTAGAGGGGAAGAACCGATTAGGGTTTATGTGTAGCTGTGCATATATATAAAAATTTCTGACCGAACTAATCGTCGGAAACTTCTGACCGAATTAGTCTTTAGAAATCTTTGACGGCTAAACAAGTCGGAAATGATTTTTAAATTTTTAAACCTTCATTATACATTTTAATTTACTAAAATATTTAAAATTTATTTTTTTTGTTAGAAAATTCCAACTGATGTCCGACGACAAAAAATGTGGTTAGAAATTTCTGACGGATTTTTTTTTGTTCACAAGTAGCTGGTTGTAATTTTAATAACATTTTAGGTTACTTTTGCATTTGATTGAAGTTTGAATTTACTTTTGTATTTGAAATCAAGTTGTAAATTATATTTGGAAATTTCCTCAACAAAATAATATTAATATGTAAAAAAAAATTTATACGTAATATTCATTGCGTTCACTTAGTATAACATGATTAGTTGATCCAACCTCCGCTGTGTCGTATTGTATACCACGTAATGCACATGTTTAGATATTCACATTAAATAGCTTCACCAGTGATAGTTATTCTAGACGATCTTTTGCATTTAAGTATTAGGACATGCTTCGTAAATATGTATATATTATAGTCACCGAAATCATTATTTCTACTCTTATAAATTTCATGATTTTTTCACATTATTGTTTTGAAATACTAAAAAGAATGAATGAGTCAAAAATATTAAACAGATAAGAAAAGTAATAAATAGTGCCGTCAATTATAGAGAATGCAACTGTTAAAAACTAAAAAGAAACCAAAGAAAAGGTCTTGACCAAGTTTTCATGCAGCAGACTGCAGTAGTAACATATTAAACAGTGTACTCACTTACCTATGAGTCAAAAAAATTTTCCCGTCATGGACGCTCTTAGTCATGCGGGAGAGGAGGTAAGTGAAACAGTTCGATTTCATGACCGTTTGCATGTGGCAGGAAGTTCAAACATACTCCTTACCGATGAGTCAAAATTTGACCCCAGTTAAATAAATTTATGGTCCTTCAAGGATCCAACCATGTGACATCTTACCAGAAACCTAATCGCATTAGCTTCCTCTGTAATATCTCTCTCTCTCTCTATATATATATATATATATATATATATATTCTCCTTCTCACACAAAAGCCTTCCATAAAAAGAAAGAAAAAAACTTAAAGCTTCATTTTTATACCCTCTCGGCTGATCATCACTTTCTCTTCTTTTTGTTGAGAAGTAAAAATGGCAATGATGACAAATCTGCTGGCCACAAGCAAAGCCCTCAAATTGCACGTCAGCTTCTTCTCCTCTTTCCCCTGCAGACCGAACCACTTCTTGGCTCGTCGTTTGCCACAATCAATGGCACCTAGAGTCCAAACTTCTTGTTCATATCGTGAAACGTCGTTGAAAGCTATGACGCCGTTTACTACGCCTGAGCCAGAACCAAGTAGTGTTACTGAGGGAGTTGGAATCCTCCGTTTCTTAAAAGGAAAAAACTATCTTGTTACTGGCGCAACAGGTTTTCTTGCTAAAGGTAAGGCAAACTCTAAAACATAGCTTTCTTCTTGTCCAAGTAAATTAACTTTCAGACTGATTTTCTTATTTTTGTTGTTCCAGTGTTGATTGAGAAATTATTAAGGGAAAGTCCTGAGATTGGGAGGATCTTCCTTTTGATCAACTCCAAGGATCAAGAATCAGCCAACAAGAGACTCTATAATGAGGTTTTATTTTCATTTTTCATCCTTACTCTCTTTTTTTTTTTTTTTTTTCATTTTTCCAAATTTTTATCCATTTGTTTCTCACAGATCATAAGCTCGGATCTGTTCAACCATTTGAAGCAACTACACGGGAGCTCTTACGAAGCATTTATGAACAGCAAGTTGATTCCAATACTTGGAGACATTGGAGAAGACAATCTCGGGATCGGATCTGATATAGCAGCCAAGATCAGTGGTGAGATTGATGTCATTATAAGCTGTGCAGGTCGCACAACATTTGACGACAGGTGTTTACTATGTCTACTTCCTACTCTGTTCTATGTGTTAGTTACAAACTATTTGCTTCTAACCCAAGTAAACTGATACAGATACGACCTTGCTTTAAATGTCAACGCGCTTGGACCTTGTCGGCTCTTGAGCTTTGCCAAGGACTGCAAGAAACTGAAACTCTTTCTCCATTTCTCAACTGGTATGAGTTTATGTTTTGGCTAAAAGAAGTTTTTCCACATGTTTTATTGGTTCATTTTACAGACACATTTACTACAATAAATGCACTTGATGGACCACATGATTTGACTGAATAAATCTATACTATTAAAACACAAGGCCCTTTTTTGAGATGCCTTTGATTTTTAAAAATAATTACCATATTCTGCCACTGGTATATTTTTAGTCTATGCTTTTGATTAAATTGCTTTATTTTTTGTTTTTTATTCAAACAGAAACTCCTACATTACAGCTACGTAATTCTTTTATTTTACGTAATACATAATGCATTGCTAATGAAACAATAACGTATCATTAAATAACAAAGTAACATCTACATTTTAAATAAACTTCAATTGTATCAACACTGATTTTCTTTTCTTATAGATTAGATGTACCATCTCTTTGTATATTGAGAATGATGTTCCAGCAATGCTAAGCTTGACCGTTTATTGGATTCTGCAAACTTCAAAATAAAAACAATACACATCTGTTAATATCACTGTTTTTACCATTCGTCACTTCTAAACAGAAATTTTGCTTACAAACGATTGCACCAGAAAACCCATATATTGCATTATTCAAATATAGTCGACAAAATTATTTAAATCCCAAACTTTCCCAAATCAAATACCAAAAAAAAAAAAAAAAATTTAACACACAAATACCAAAAATATAATCCATTAAATCAAAGCCTCAAAACTTGGCAAATAAATTTGATTTCCGGAAGAACCTACCTACCAATATCACATATACTAAATCATTTGTACCAATCTTTTGAGAAAAGGATCTAAATTTTCTGAGGTTCCTTAGATAACAATAAAGAATATACCAAAGTATAACTACCAGGTGGAATTTTTTATTCTACATTATTTCTGAAGTTTCGAATACTATATATATATATATATATTATTTTTAATTTTCTTTTGATCTTGTTATAAAGCTTATGTGACTGGTAAGAAAGAAGGAACAATACTAGAGACTCCTCTTTGCCTTGGAGAAAATATAACTTCTGACTTGAACATCGAACATGAGTTGAAACTAGCTTCAGAAGCTGTAAGAAAGCTACAAGGTAGTGGAGAAACCAAGAAGCTGAAAGAACTTGGTATCCAAAGGTGAGGATGAAGGAGAAAATTTACTCTGCACATTACTATGTTACTAAAATCTGAAACTATATGAAGTTTAAAAAAATATATATATATCTGAAACAATATGATTTTATCTAGAGCTCAACACTATGGCTGGGAAAACACTTACACGTTCACAAAAGCAATGGGTGAGACTTTAATCCAAACCATGCGAGAAGATGTGCCTGTAGTGATCATAAGGCCTAGTATTATAGAAAGCTCTTATAAGGAGCCTTTCCCTGGCTGGCTCCAAGGAATAAGGTTAAAGATTTTCATTGTTTAAGACATAGAATTAAATTTTCTTATTTTATATTTTTCATTTAGTTTATAAAAAACACAGGATGACTGATCCAATGGTATTGGCCTATGGCAAAGGCCAAATTTCTGGCTTCTGGGGAGATCCTCAATCTTTTGTCGACGTTATACCTGTTGATATGGTTGTGAATGCAACAATAGCAGCAATGGCAAAGCATGGTTGTGGAAACTCTGAGCTCATAGTTTACAATGTCACTTCTTCATCTCATCCGTATCCTATACGAGCAGGCGAGTTTATGGACCTCGCTTATCAACATCTGTGTGACTTTCCATTGACAGTGATAGACTTACCCCGATGGAAGTTCCACAGTTCCTTAGATGGTTTCACCTCCTCTGTTTTCGACATAATAGCAAAACAGGAAAGGGGAACTAAGAATGAAGGTGGAGAAGCAGAAAAGTCACATACCACATTGAGCTTNTACGAGCAGGCGAGTTTATGGACCTCGCTTATCAACATCTGTGTGACTTTCCATTGACAGTGATAGACTTACCCCGATGGAAGTTCCACAGTTCCTTAGATGGTTTCACCTCCTCTGTTTTCGACATAATAGCAAAACAGGAAAGGGGAACTAAGAATGAAGGTGGAGAAGCAGAAAAGTCACATACCACATTGAGCTTTAGGGGAAGAAGGATACTAGACTATTTTGTGTCCCTAGCAAGAACATATGAGCCTTATACGTTCTTTCAAGCTCGGTAAGTAACATACTTGGACTAATTGTTGTTTTTATCCAGCAAAAAGCTATTAGATTACTGACTCTTGGTCAATATCCTAGGTTTGATGATACCAATACAAGGAGTCTTATTCAGGAGCTGTCAATGGAAGAGAGAGATATGTTTGACTTCGATATCAAAAGCATTAACTGGGAGCATTACATTGTGAACATTCATCTTCCAGGTCTCAAAAGAGAATCTTTGAAAGAAAGATCAAACTAAAGAGTGATTGGTTGGTACAACTGCTTGAGTTCACCAAGTGTATCACCTACTGTTTTTTGTTTCTTCATATGTGTGAGTAAAATTTTCAATTTAGTTGTCCTTGTAGAATAAAATATTCGTTTCAAAATAAGTGTCGTTTAAGAGAGTAATAGCTATGATTATTTATAATTTAAGAGAGTAACCAATATTGTAATCTAGACACCATTACCCTTATTTAGTATAGAGACTATTATAGCTTCAAAATTACATTTCAGAAAATTTCATTACAACAATATTAGTTTTTTAAAAGAGCTGGTAAACAATGATAAAGATTAACAAGTGCTTAAACCCTAACGACAGTGCCTAGCGGTTCTGCATGTAGTGAAGGGTTGCTGACAGAACAGAACTATGCCTGTAGAAACAAGTTACATCAGCTTTCAGATAATTATATATTAAGCACCAAACCAACTTCACTTGCTTGAATTATCAGAGCTATGCATAGGAAAAAAAAAAAATTAAACATGTGGATTTAAAGATTCTTAATATGAGCGTGGTACTTCTACTTGGAGACGCAAGTTTTCGTTTTATGACCACAATCTCAAAGAGAGTGTAGTAGCTGTGGAGGAATGCAGAAAAAAAATCAAATGTTATTTATCTGAAAAGAGGCATTTCTGAACTGCTCATACGAATGAGCATATATCATAGGCCACTGCATATACACCGCATCCGTTGAAGGCTGCGTTGGTATAATACTGTGGTACCATAAGCACACTCATGATAACGCTTGAAGGTGGTCTAAAGTTAAGAGAGACATGAGTTCTTGGGATATGGGCCCCATTTGGCAGTTTGGTGACTGCATCATGTTGAAGGGTGGTAGATTGAAATTCTGATAAAGCGGAAGGTTCCTAATGTACCTGTATTCACACATAAAAGACTATCAAGTATCAACCACCACGCATAAACCTGTATGTTTCTCTTTGCTAGTCTAGTAATGGCTAACAGATGTTTTATTACCTTTTGTAACTGCGGTCATAATCAGGGTCTCTCTGAATTGCAACACGAGATGTTGGACCACTTTCCCTGAAGCTTAGGTTCTTCTCTACCTCCTAAGCATCAGCATTCTTAGACAGAAGATTGTCAGCTCTGCCAAGTGTATGCCTCCTATAAACCCGAGTCAGATGAAGACACCACTGAGATATATAACTCAAACAAGTTTCAGAGTTACAAAAATCTCTAACATCAATACATAAGTAACATTCCTGATGCAAAACCTACTTTATGAATCACTTTTCTTTATCAAACAAGTTTCAGATTTACAAAAATCTCTAACATCAGTACATAAGTAACATTCCTGATGCAAAACCTACTTTATGAATCACTTTTGTTTTATCATAAACGTTGACTAACATGAAACCCACTCATACCAATGAAGTTTACAGCTTTGATATCATCAACCATGATTGTACAGTACAAGGCAAATGGGTACCTCCTTAAACGCAAAATCAATTCAAAGAAGTAGCCAGCCACATACAGAACCACCGTGTCGCTTTTGTTAGATTATGACTTCCCCTAAGCGCAAATGGTGTCTCCAACACATACTTATAGTACTGCCAGAACAACACAAGAGTACATCGACATAGGACAATCAATCAACAGGTCCTTTCATGTATGATGATCTGATGATGCGGCAAACATCAGGTACCATAGAAGAGAAGGGCGCAATGCATGTGAAAGCCGGCATGATGTCTGAGATCTGAAGATTAAATAAGAAGACATTGTTTTCGTAATCTGCTGATGATTACCATTGATTCTTCAAGTGGCATGGTCCTCTGTTTCAGTTAACCAAATACTACTCAAACCTCAACATGGATATTGACTACCACAAGTAGTTTATATGAGTGTATAGCCAAAGGCAGACCCATTATCTTAGCTAAAAACATACATATTCTTTCACTCGTGCAAGTAAGTCGAATTCAATATCCCCAAACGAGTCCGTATTACGCATATTGAAGGTACATCATTTGTTAGTTTCTGTGAGGATGTAACCAATATCTGTTGGAGACTTTGAAAAAGAGTAAATAACATACTGTATACATTATAGAAGTGTATATCAAAGCAAACTTGTCCAACAAGCTAACTCAGGTTCTTTCATGTATCCTAACAAACAAACCACCTTTGATTCTAAGTGTCACAGACAACAGAATATCAGGACGCTCCTTGCCTGGTACCTCAACAACAAACCTATCCAGCACCGCTGCAACTATCGATTTCATCTGAATATAAGCCATCTCTTTACCTAAACACATCCTTGGTCCTGCATGAAACACCGGAAACTTGTAAGGATTCTCACCTCTAAACCCACCATTCGTTTCATCAATCCACCTCTCTGGCTCAAACCTATCACAACCCTTCCCCCAAATACTCTCCATCCTCCCCATCGCGTACGCGTTGTAACTTATCCCCCAAGATTTCCCTACAAATGTCCCATCGGGCAGAACATTATCCTCAACACAACTCATTGTGTCCACTGGCACAGGAGGATATAACCTAAGAGACTCCGTTATCGCTGCGTGCAGATAGTTCATCAGTTTAAGATCCTCAAACCCGTAAACTTCTCCGACACGCTTCCCTGTTCTTGCCCTAATCGAATTCAGCTCTTGTCTGATCTTGTTTTCCACCTCTGGATGCTTAGAGAGCAACCAGAAGAACCAGCTCAAAGCAGAGGATGTTGTGTCACGTCCCGCGAGTATGAAACTAATGACAATGTCACGGAGAAGCTCCGGGGAACTCATCTCCTCTATGTTGATGAATCTTGAAAGCAAATCCTCGTTCTTGTTGTTACTTGACCTAGCTTGATCATCAAGCCTGTGACGCACGATATCGTCTGCGAATTTATGGACGGTCACGATTGATTCTCTTAGAAGCTTCTCTGATCCCATGTCAAGTTTCTTCTTGATCTTCCATGAGTAAGAGACCACTGACTGAAACCGTTGCGAGATGATCGTCGCCGCCATCTCGAAGGCTCTCATGAACTCTACACCGTCTGCTCCGTCGTCGCCGAGGCAAGCGGCATCGACGTTGAATGCTAACTTGCAGATGTTATCGAACGCAAAACGCTCCAATATATCTTGAAGGTCTATCGATTCTCCGGCAGTCGCCGCCGCGGTTAACACCGGAACAAGCCTATATCGGAGTATATAACAATGTAAAATGCTACATGCAGAATTAAAAAAAAAAAAGACAAAATAGTTTGTAAAAGTTATAATTTTATAGAAAAGTATATTAAATATTAAAATAACATTTTTACCTTTATTTATAGAATTTTATTTTTCTTTAAGAAGTAATTTAAATTAAGATCTTGTTTAAAGAAAATATTTTTTTATTTAATTTTTAAATTAAAATAGATAAATATTTTCTTTTAGATAGGTCCGCGAATCTCAAGTACGGCTCTGATATTAGCTTAGTTATACAGTACATACCTGGTGTTGATTTCGACGGTGACGTTGGTCATAACGAAGTCACGGAGCGACCTAGTACTGAACTCGTAGCTTGCCGTCTTCCTCTGTTTCCACCACATCTCTCCGTCGGAGTTGAAAATTCCACGGCCAAGAAAATCCTCAAGAAGCGAGATGAACCGCTCGCCTTTAGGGAAGCAATCGAACTTGGTCTTGAGCATGAACTCGACGTTTGCTGGATTCGCGGTCATGACGAACTGTTGGTTCCCTGGTCGCCGGAAAACAGCTGTCTGTGTCGGGCATCGAGACAGAGTCTCTACCGTCCAATCTAGGAAACGGTGACGGTTTTTCACCAGTCCGGGTATGCTTCCGACGATCGGGTAGGATTTGAAACCGATGTGTGAGGAAGGTTGCCTTGGGAGAGAGACAAGGAAGATGATGATGAGAAACTCCATTTGTCTTCTTGTCTGAGCTGCCTTTTTCACTTTAGTTTCAAAGCAAGTGTTTTGTGGTGGTGGGTATCAATCAAATTGAATTGAAACAGAACCAGGAAAAAAAACAATAGTCATTTGATATTTATACTATTAGTTGGGTTTTTTCAGGGCCGAAAATAACATGTTTATTGGGTTCAATTCAATATTCCAAACCCAAGTCAACAACAACATGGCTGGCTATATAAATTCTGTTAACTACAAAAACACATCCAAATCAAACAAAACAAAAAAGTGGAGTCATACAAATTAAGATTCCCGTGTAAGCTGATTATACATGCTAACCTCTTTTGTTTTTCTATCCATAGTAAATGTATTTCCCCTATAAACTGTATCTATCAATCAACAATTTTTTTTTTTTTTTACAAAGAGAAGCATATATCACCCAAACCCAATGTTGTTCCAACAGACAACAAAGTGTTAAAGAAAATCCATGTATTTCGGATTACCTTATAAATGTATTATGTATCATATAAATTTTGTTATCATGTGTATGAGATTGTAACATAGGCCTTCTCAACCTCACTCCATATTTTATTTTAAAATAAAGTAATGGAAAAGAAATAAAACTCTTACTCTATAAATGAATTACTACTTTTACAGTTACAATTTAGCACTTATGAATCGTCCGATCATTCTTTTGTAGCATTGTATATTCTCTTCTTTAACTTCTCCATATTTATGCAAATCCCTATTTTTCTGCATTGATTATTAAATTTCACATTTCATAAAAAGATTAATATTTTATTTGTTTGTTCCTTTTGCAGTAAAATATAAAGTGAAATAGTTGAAAATGCTCTTAAGCTGTAGTTTAGAGGCTGTAGTTTAGAGCAGCGCCTTCAACCTATTCAAAATCTATTCAAATTCTCTTTTATTCTTAAAAACAAACTTAAAGCTTCTTCATTTCATTTTATTTTACCATTCTATAAACTCATTAGAATGATTTCTTAAGCATTGTCGTTTATGTGTTAACAAGTTATTTTAGAGACTGAATCAAACCGTAACACTAAAATCATTAAACTGCATTAATAATAGATAAAATAAAGTACCAAAAACCTTAATATTTACATTAAAATACTTTTTTTTGTACTGCAATCAACAGTAAATTTTACTTTAACATACAACCATTGCCGTCCCAAACATTTATGAGGCTTAAAGCCTTTTTAAATAATGTGGCCCTCAGTTAAAATTGTAATAAGACTGAACAGAAATATAAAATGGTTTACGTTTGCGTCAAAAACCTGGAACAAAGAGGCTTAATATACTTAACCAGCTAAGCTGCATGTAATTTAAAGATGTGGCCCAAATTTTGTAGTATTTATTTTGAGTGTCCTAAAGCCAATGCTTCACCTGCCTTAAAGCAGGGACGGGCCTGATACAACCTTGTATATTGAGTTCTCTCTCTTTTGAATCTGTCTCCTTTAGATTTTGTCGTCGTGAAACTATGTACTTTGAAGATGGATTAGCTAAACAAGTCCTTAAGATTTTTACCGGTCCCGGTTTAATGAACTGACTTCTGGTTGTGCACAAAAAAATAGCTTGCTCATCATTCATTTTATAAGAATCTCTACTTCAATTATTTGTAAGATATACTCGACAAGGTTGCCCATATTATTTATTGGACACGTTAAAAGAGTTATTTATTGATGTTTGTACTATTCTATTCTCAGATACTTATGTTTTTCAATTGATTCTTTGACCAAATCATTTTTGTGCTTTTTCATTGATCATCTACAGCAGTAAAGAAACTGATGTTACTACCACGAAATTGACAAATTGGTTCCCACATTACATTTTTTTGAAGAATGGAGATTTTGCTCTTGAAGTGTTTTCTTGACACGCGTATGCATCTTTTACTCTATAATCTCATAACCTTTACGTTACATGTTAATATCTCAACACATCCATTAGATATTTTCATTAAACTCGTTGATAATTCCACCAAAGTTGACGATCCCTATCCCACAACTCAAATGTAAAGAGATTTAATAATTTTGATCTATCGAGTACATGGAGACTTGATTTCCTTTTTTAAAATCGTGTAGTGCCTTGGATGTGTGTATATACCACCAGAAATTTAGGTTCTCTGACGATCAGGTTATCTAAAATAAAAATATAAATGTATTGGAGATGAGAAATGATATACTATAACTTGTTACGGGCACAAACAAATATCAAAGATCTAACATACTTTTTTGCCAAATAGATCTAACATATCATCATTTCCTTTTTATCTAAAGGATGATAATATATTACATAAAGATGGAGAAAAAGCTCGAGAAACATAGACCTATTATATAATCTGAGAATGTGTTTATTAGGGCGAACTGAATAAATGTAAAGCATTTGCATAAATAAATTGATAAAATATAAATATCGATACAAGAAAGAGTTTGTAGATACGAGACACTATTTTCTTAATTCTGTAAATGGCATGTAATGTGATTGTTTGCATAATATTCCAAAATCTCAGGATACAACTATATATATTTTCATTTTCCATCACTGAAAAACATACACTACAAGAAAACAAATATTTAATGAGAGTCGTTTTCGTAATTATTTTCTTGTAAACAAGGATCTATAAGGAAATAACCACGAAATGAAAAACGTCGTGATACGTTTGTCGTAACACATATTTCCTCACTAAAACTTTGCAACTTTACAAGGAAATATTTCCTCATAAAACCGGGCCTACGTTTTCCTCTTGTAAAAGACACGCTAAATATTCCACGTAATTTACACGCTAAGTGTTTCCTCATAAGATACACGTAAACATTTCCTCATAAACTTGTAATTAAGTTTTGTTGTTAATCACACGTAAATGTTTTCTCGCAAAGACTACGCTAACTTTTGTAGTTAATTCTACGAAAAATT